TATTTCATTTTAAACAGCTTTCGGTTTAGGCTATTGTTTTTAAAACCATACGACTCTAGCAAGTTGTCTAGAGTTTTGGTGAAGGTATGCGTGCATACTGTCAAGATTTTGAAAAAGGAAACTATAACATTCCCCGCGGGAGCCTATAAAAATATGTATTGCTAGGCCTACCCGTTCTCAACACCCAGGTAACCTAAGAATAATTTCCCAGACCGGGTGAGAATAATATCCATTTTATTCTCACTCGGGGTGAGAATAACAATATAGTATTATATTCTCACCTCGGGTGAGAATAAAATGAATATTAATCAAATGTGAGAATATTATTAAATTTTTATTTTTACCCCGGTTGAGAATAACGACAGCCCTCAGCTTAGCAAATGGGAGAATTTACCCGTAATCCACCCCATACCAAGAGCCTAATTATACTAAATGATTTTCGTCAAGAGTCCAGAGAATAAACTTGAAATTATTGTTGATCATCGTATTGCACAACACTATCTTATATTTTGTTGATAGTTCAGTAATAATTTCAATCTCTATAATCTACACAGTACACTAGCAAGAAATTCCATCACTTGTTTGTTTTCTTTTTGATTTGTCATGCTATAACATGAATTTCTGGCTACACGTGATCTGATTATTTCAAGTTACTGAGCACTTAACTGCACACAATGCAAGGAGACATTGATAGTGTGTGTGGGAGAAAGAAAGAGATAGAGAGAGAGTGTAGAGAATGGGAGAGGCAAAAATTAATCTTTTTTGTTTTTTTCTCCCTCAGTAAATTAATTGTAACTACTCAAAAATGCATTTTACATGTATATACATGCAAAATTATTCTACCAAGAGGACCTACAAATGCTGTCAAATGGAGATCAGCTCTATCTGTGTATTTACGAACGTTTGCTAATTTTGTATAATATACACATGCCCATTTCAGACACACACTCTTACAAGTATCAGCAGGTAACATTTTGTCGTAAAGTGCTTTGAGCAACGCCAGGATTCCAAACTCAGGCCTGTTTTTTGGCATTGTTGTTGTTAAGTCGAAATTGCGTGTGTCGTTATGTGTAAATGGTGGAACCTGATACACAGTGGTACCTGTCACATGAAACCAACCTCAGGAGATCTCACATTTTGTTTGTCAGTTTGTCGTGAGTCAAGTTGTCGTGAAGTCTTAATGATTGGTTTATAATTTAAATGGATTTGTCCTCAGGTTGAAAGAAACAGGTTTTCCGTGGGCCACGAGTCTTCAGACAGTACAAGTGATTTCGTCTACGGTACAAGTGATTTCGTCGACGGTACAAGTGATTTCGTCATGGTTCTGCTCACGATGATAGCCAGAGTGGCGGACGGCCTGCCGTTGGCTGCGTCTGTCCAAGAAGATGAACAGGTAAGCTGAATACTGTGGCTTGTATTCATTATATACATAGTTGACATTGTCCAAGAAGATGAACAATACTGTGGCTTGTATTCATTATAAACATAGTTGACATTGTCCAAGAAGATGAACAGGTAAGCTGAATACTGTGGCTTGTACTCATTATATACATAGTTGACATTGTCCAAGAAAATGAACAATACTGTGGCTTGTACTCATTATATACATAGTTGACATTGTCCAAGAAAATGAACAATACTGTGGCTTGTACTCATTATATACATAGTTGACATTGTCCAAGAAGATGAACAATACTGTGGCTTGTACTCATTATATACATAGTTGACATTGTCCAAGAAGATGAACAATACTGTGGCTTGTACTCATTATATACATAGTTGACATTGTCCAAGAAGATGAACAATACTGTGGCTTGTACTCATTATATACATAGTTGACATTGTCCAAGAAAATGAACAATACTGTGGCTTGTATTCATTATATACATAGTTGATATTGTCTAAGAAGATGAACAATACTGTGGCTTGTATTCATTATATACATAGTTGACATTGTCCAAGAAGATGAACAATACTGTGGCTTGTACTCATTATATACATAGTTGACATTGTCCAAGAAGATGAACAATACTGTGGCTTGTACTCATTATATACATAGTTGACATTGTCCAAGAAGATGAACAATACTGTGGCTTGTACTCATTATATACACAGTTGACATTGTCCAAGAAGATGAATAATACTGTGGCTTGTACTCATTATATACATAGTTGACATTGTCCAAGACAGCAACCAAGTCGCGACCTCAGTGCTTTCTTGTCATACCTCCTTTTTTTTTAACATTGAAAATATGACTCTTTCTTATGCTCACTCTTTGTTATGAACTGTTTTCACTGTTTTAAAAAATGGAGATACAACAAGAAAGCACTGAGGTCGCGACTTGCCGAGGGGAAATGTCGTCATTTGAGACAGGTGGACATCTTGGATAATGTCTTTATAATATAGAAAAACAATGCAGGGGGAGGGGGGATCATTTGTACCGGCGATTGTCGTAGACAGGTGGCCATCTTGGATAATGTCTATATGATATAGAAAAACA